AAAAATACATTTTTTCTAGAAATGAACACGCCGTCCAACATGAGCTCAAAATCCTTCATTTTCAGTCCTGTTTTCTTATGCTTACACCCCTGTATTTTTTAGATTAGAACCCGCCGTCCACACCACGACAAAATCAGTTTTTATTTTATTTTATTGTGAAAAGGTAAAGACCTTATTACGCTCGACCGGCTTATAATCCACCCATACGCACACTCGCCTGCACACCCGCGTGATCGCATTCCACCTCTCTCTCTCAATCATCTTCCTCTCCTTTGCCCAACGCGCTCTCTCTCCCAGTGACCTCCTCCCCAATGACCTCTTCCTCGGTGACTTCTTCCCCGACGGTGACCTCCTCCCCACGCCTGCGCCCCGCCTTCTTCCCACGTGGCTCCTCCCTCTCTCCCCTCCGGCGGTGGTGGAAGGTTCTAGCACTAGCAGTGTCGACAAGGTAGGCCTCCTCCTCCTCCTAGATCTGCTCCTTAGGGTTCCGGCGAGCTCTCCCTCTAATCTTCCCAAACTTCAGCGACCTTAGAAGGAAAGGGGTTTGGGGGAGGAAGGTCGGCGGGCGGTTTAGGGGCCTTAGCAGCGGCAGAGGCGGCTAGGCCAGGTCGGGGCGGGGGCACCATTGCCATGGTGGCGGAAGAGGGCGGGGGGAGGGGAAGAAGGTAGCGCCGCAGGGGAGGTAGGGTTTCGCCAGATGAAAGCTCTAGTTTAGTTTTGGTAAATTGATGAAACCCTAAGTGCTAACCTAGTTTATCATAGTGTTCATGAGATAGGCAGCACATTCCAAGTGGTGAAGCAAATGAATATCATAACATGATGACGGTGATGCCATGGTGATGATCAAGTGCTTGGACTTGAAAAGAAGAAAGAGAAAAACAAAAGGCTCAAGACAAAGGTATAAGTGGTAGGAGTCATTTTGTTTCGGTGATCAAGACACTTAGCGAGTGTGATCACATTTAGGTTCGATAGTCGTACTATTAAGAGGGGTGAAACTCGTATTGAAATACGGTTATGAAAGTGCCACTAGATGCTCTGACTCATTGCATATGCATTTTGGATTTAGTGGAATGCTAACACCCTTGGAAATGTTTGTGAAAATATGTTAACACACATGTGCACAAGGTGATACACTTGGTGGTTGGCACATTTGAGCAAGGGTAAGAAACTTCACCGGCGGAGTGTCCGCCCGTAGAGTGTGGACACTCCGCCGGTGCCACCGCACCGGCGCCTTGTACAAAAAAGACAGGATTTCACAGAGTGCACCGAACGCTAGCCTCAACTGGACCGGTGCGTCCAGTCCGTGGAAGCAGTGAAGACGTTGGCGTCGGTCTTCGACCGGACGCTGAGTCACTTCGTGATCGGACGCTGATGGGGTGCGTCCGGTCTTACTGACGTGGCAGCGCATAGAGAAGAGGGTGACTGACCAGACGCTGGGTGAGTCAGGTCAGGGGTGACCGGACGCGTCCGGTCGTGAATTTCCACCTCTGGAAGCTTACTAGAAGTGATCGAACGCTGGGGTCCTACGTCCGGTCGATATGACCGGAGCGTCTGCTCACCCTGAGCAGTGCCCAGTGAAGGGGTACAACAGCTCTATTTCGTGGGGGCTTCTATTTAAGCCCCATGATCGTCTCAAGCTCACTCGCTTGGCAATTTACACATAGCAATCTCATGAGCTTAGCCAAAGCCCTCACACTCATCTCCATTATAGATTCAACATCTATGTGAGATTAGAAGTGAATCCAAGTGCATTGCTTGAGTGTTTGCATCTAGAGGCACTTGGTGTTCGTGTTTCGCTGCGGAATTCGCTTGTTACTCTTGGTGGTTACCGCCACCTAGACGGCTTGGAGCAGCGAGGATCATCGAGCGGAGGTTGGTGATTGTCTTCGGCTCCGATCGTGGTGATTGTGAGGGGTTCTTGACCTTTTCCCGATAGAGAGCCAAAAGGTACTCTAGTGAATTGCTCGTGGCTTGTGTGATCCTCGTCTTGTGTTGGTTGTGCGGCACCCTATTGAGGGTTTGGCGTGTGATGTCAATTAGCGCGTGAACCTCCAAGTGAGTGAATTGCCACAACGAGGACTAGCTTGTTGGCAAGCAAGTGAACTTCGGTAAAAAATTATTGTGTCATCATTTGATTCTGAGGTGATTGGTTTTCATTGATATTCATTCTTGTGATTGATTAGTTCACTCCTCGACACGGTAGTATAACTATCTTGCTCTCTCTCTTTACAATACCGGAAACTAGTTGTCAAGCTCTTTAGTGTAGCTAGTTGTGAGAGCTTGTTAGTTTGGTTAGTATGGCTCTTTAGTTAGTATTTGAGAGCATACTAACTTAGTGTAGTGACATAGCTATTGTGTGGAGAGAAACTATATAAATTAGAATTGTGGTAGGCGGCTTGCAATTTTAGTAGGCTAGCGCAACATTTGTTTCGCCTCATAATTGTCTAACCGGTTTGCTAAGTGTTGTTGTAGAAAATTTTTAATAGGTTATTCACCCCCATCTAGCCATTAGAACCTTTCATCGGAGCTCCACTTGATGCATTTACACGTGGGTGTCGGAAGGTCCATTGAGTTCTTCTTTACTCATGTTGTTCTCTTTTCTCGTTTGACAACCGCGAGAGAAGTCCCCATGGGATGGCTGGAAGCAGTGAGGAAGTGGCAGTCCGGACAAGCTTGCCTAGCAGCATAGTGAACCCTTGAGTCTTTTTTGTATTTTATTTCCATTTTTTGTTTTAAATTTGTGTTTCCAAGTTTTATTGAAAGTGTTTTGTTCTATTATTTTCGTTTCTAAACTTTGTGCCAGGTCATAAATTTGTGATACAAATTCACTTGTTCATAACTTTTGTTCTTGAAATTTTGCTCCTACAGTTTGTTCATTACTTTTAGTTCAATAACTTATGTTCCTATCCTTTTGTCTCATAAGCTTTTATTCTTAAATTTTGTTGCTAAGTTTTTCTCCAGTAACTTGTCCATAATTATTTTGTTTAATAACCTTTGTTCATAACTTTTTTTTCTAATTTATGTTTCAATGATTTATGTTCCCAAAATTATATTTCTAACTAATGTTTCAATAACTTCTGTTCATATTTTTTGTTCCAGGATTTTTGTTTTTTATAATTAGAGAGGACAGAGGACTTATGAGGATCCAAGTGGTGGTAAAGGATGGCTTTAAAGTGCACCACACGGACAGAAAAGGAAAGAGGGACATGGAAAAATAGTGTCCAAAAGTGGAAATAGCACCCGCTATTTAGGGCGCGTTTAGTTCCGAAATTTTTGGCTTTTGGCTACTGTAGCACTTTCGTTGTTATTTAGTAAAAATTGTCCAATTATGGACTATTTAGGCTTAAAAGATTCGTCTCGCGATTTCTCGATGAACTGTGCAATTAGTTTTTTTTTTCATCTACATTTAATACTCCATGCATGTGCCGCAAGATTCGATGTGACAGGGAATCTTGAAATTTTTTTGTTTTTGGGTTGGAACTAAACGGGGCCTTATTCTTCCGCTCATCCCACCGCCAGTGGAGGCGATCGTCACTTCGTCACGCAAGCTGCAGCAGGACTGCCAAGTATCTGCATACCTACACCATGCATGCCATGCCCCCTGCGTAGGGACGGACCCACAGGATATGCAGGGTGGGCCATCGCATACCTAGGGTCCACATAGATATAAATTTTCAATGTAAAAAAATAAAAAAAGGAAACGATACATGCATAGGAATTTTTTTTACCAAATTATATATAGTTTATCAAATTGCATAAGAAAGTTTTTTGCTGCGCATACCCAGAGGTAAAAACCTAGGACCGTGGCTGCCCCTGCGTCCGCGCGCGCGGCATCGCGTGACTACATGCACACGCACTCGCCGTGTGCCGTGTGCGACCGCCACACGATCCAGGGCCAGCGCGGGCAGGCTGCCTGTACATGGCTGCACCAGCAGCGCGCGGCATCGCGGATTCGCGGCCATGGACGCATAGTCTTGTGCACCCGCGCCCGCGCGGGGTGCTGGTGCCGCACTGCTGTGCAAACTGAATAACTGATCTGACCTTGCAGCCGCGGCACGCCGGCACCAACCAAGAACCAACCCACACGCCCCGCTCGCGGTCTCGTGGATGCGCAGACGCTGGCACGCTGCCCCTGCCTACTTTAACCCACTCCTCGGTGGAGGCGTGGAACGCGCGTCGCGGCTCTCGTTGGACACCGCTCCCCCCTGGTGCTATAAAAGGGCAACCACAGAGCACAATCATGCCGAGCAAACCAATAGTGGTGTTCACCAAGTCATCGTCGATTCCTCCTTGCTTGCTTGCCATCGGTTGTCCCACTTGGTGAATTAGGCGCCGTTTGGCTTAAAGAATCGTTTCGGTTTCTCCAGCGAAACAGTAGAATCGGCTCCAAACGCTATTTTTCACCGGTGATTCGCAAACAGCGTTTCTACGTACAAACGCGAAACGGCCAGAAGGTAGTTTTGATTCTCCTTCTCTCCATTCCTAGTTATGTTTAATATTTTTTCCAGTTAACTTTCTTCTAATGCAACGAGTTAAAAATGGATTGTAGTTAAGTTATTCTCTGTCTAAAAAAAGTTCAGAACTTTTTGAAACATATTTTTATTTTTATGATTTTTTTAGAAAAAATATATATTGTTATGGATCTGATTCCAGTATACTTGTCAAACGGTTTTATAAAATGATTTTGATTCATCGTTCGAAACATTATTTGAGAGAATCTGGATCTGAAACGTTTCGAGAATCTAATCTATACCAAATACACCTTTAATTGGCGAGGCATGAAGCGCATTGCAAGATTTACACAGCCTAATAACCTATGTTCTCGATACATCCTTGCGTGAATGCGTCGAAATTTGAGTGAAAACGCATCTCAATTTCCCACCACCCCGGCTACGAGGAACTAACTGTGTGCCACCTGTTTCATCTCAATATTTGGTTTTAGTTAAAAGCAACGCTCACTTTGCTCGAGGAGTGTTTGCCAATCCCTCATCGTCAGCACCATGGGTGGAGGCCACCCCATGCAGACCGTGCTGTTGGCCCCCGGCGTTAAGGACAAGAGGCTGGTCTCGTTCACCCGCGGCGCGCTCAAGGAGAAGGACGCCGTCACCGGAATCATCCGTTCCATCGTCGCCACGGCCAACCCCGCCCAGCGGAGCGCCTTCCATGTATTGGACCTCAACAAGGTCCTAGACCTCTTCTCATCGTGGCGCCGCGCGCTCCCCGACGTGCGCCCCTACTACGCCGTCAAGTGCAACCCCGAGCCGGCGATTCTCGGCGCGCTCGCCGCGCTCGGCGCGGGATTCGACTGCGCCAGCCGCGCCGAGATCGAGGCCGTGCTCCGTCTCGGAGTTCAGCCCAGCAGCATCGTCTACGCCAACCCCTGCAAGCCCGAGCCACACCTCGAGTACGCCGCGGAGGTCGGCGTCAACCTCGCCACCTACGACTCCGAGGAGGAGGTAGCCAAGGTCAAGCGCTGCCACCCCAAGTGCGAGCTCCTGCTCCGCCTCAAGGGCCCCGACGGCGCCGAGGCCAAGTACAACCTGGGGACCAAGTACGGCGCGCACGCCGATGAGGTGGTGCCGCTCCTGCGCGCCGCCCAGCGTGCGGGGATTAACGTGGCCGGCGTCTCCTTCCACGTCGGGAGTGGCGTGTCCCGCGTGGACGTGTACCGCGGGGCAATCGAGGCCGCGCGCGCGGCGTTCGACGAGGCCGTCGCCGTCGGCATGCCTCCCATGCGCGTCCTCGACATTGGCGGCGGATTCACAGCGGGTGCTACATTCGGCGAAGCCGTGGCGGTCATCAACGATGCGCTACTGCATTACTTCGGCGATCTGCCGTGCGTGGAGGTGATCGGCGAGCCCGGGCGGTACTTCGCCGAGACAGCGTTCACGCTCGCCGCGCGCGTCATCGGGAAGCGCACGCGCGGTGAGGTGCGCGAGTATTGGATCGACGATGGGCTCTACGGCTCGCTGAACTGCATACTCATGGACCAGTACGATCCGCGTCCGAGACCGCTGGCCAGCCCGCGCCCCGGCGAGAAGACGCACACGTCTACGGTATTCGGGCCGACGTGCGACTCGCAAGACAGAATGGTGACCGAACACCAGCTGCCGGAGATAAGTGTGGGCGATTGGCTCATCTTCGACGACATGGGCGCCTACAGCACAGCTGCCGGCTCCAAGTTCAACGGGTTCGACACGTCGGAGATAAAGATCTACGTGGCGTACTCCAGCTGAGCAAGAACATCGACGGCGTCGGGAAGGATGGATGTAGAGAGGAGTGGGGTGGTTGCAGTTCGCTTGAAATAGAACAGAGTAGCCAATGTAGAAGCAGAAGCAGCATATTCAGTAGTTGCTGCTCCTGGTGTTGATGTCGGCATTCCTTCCTCCTCCTCCTCCTTTTTTCCTTTTTTATTCCTCGCGCAACTCTGTACATGTAACATCTCAGATTGTTCTTTTGCCACCTACTAAATGAAAAGGCAGAGCATCTGCCCAATTTGCTCAAAAAAAGAGAGGAGAGAGGTGTAGCGCCAGCCATAACAGGAAATTATAATAGACCAATGGGCTTGCTATCGTTCGGACGTCTGGATGGACGGGGCGTCCGGACGCCCGTGCTTGCAATTTGTTTCGCGCGCCCACAGGGGGCCGGCGCCAGGCCGAACATCACCAACATCGAGAAGAGGGGGTCTGTGGCGGATGCCCAGCCGACGCTGGGAGGAGACACTGAGGTAAGACAACAGAAAGCGAGGAGAGAGATACAACATCCGATCTACTTTTGAAACATTCAGATGCAACACTTGTGACATACGTGTGAGGCGGATAAAACACTTGAAACATACATATGAAACACTTGCAAAAACACATGAAAAACACTTGAAAACCATTGTAAACATACGTAACATCCAGATAAAACACTTATAACATATGTGTGAAATATATGCAACATCTAAATAAACATGCTTGCAACATACATCAGGAAAAACAGATGATGCGAACAGAAGCTTGCAACATATGTATACAATCGTTGCAACAAATGCAACATCCTGATCTACTTTTGCAATATCCGTATGAAACGCATGCAACATATCTCTGAAACACTTGAAAAATACACTTGCAACATGCGTTTTTCATCATTCTTCCCTACGATGCAGCGCGGAGCGGGGGATGGGCAGACGGAGGGCAGCGTCGTCGTGGCCCCTTCTAGAGGTGAGCAAAGGGGGCGGCGGGGACAGGCTACTGGTGAGCTTTGGCCGTGCTGCGGGCTGCTGCAGTCGCAGGTGGACAGAGAGGGAGGTGGGGACAGGCCAGCAATGGGCACAGGCCACCGCCGGGCTTTGGCTGGGCTCTGGCCGGGAGAAAGGGGCCGGCCGTAGGCGCAGGCAGTTTCCGGTGAGCTCTAGCCGGGCAGGGGCGGGAAGAAGGGGCCGGCGACGAGCGCTGGCCGGTGGAGGCGCCGCTGGGGATGGAGTGGGATGGAGGTGTTGGGCGTGGGATGGAGGTGCCGCGCCTCGGGGAGTTTTTTTAAGGGCGTCCGGACAGGAGTCATGGGACAGACGCCCGTGGCGTATCATTATCAATAGACCAAACTTAGGGAGAGGCCATGACATGATAAATAAATAGATCCGCAATAGATATATACGTACCTATGACCTTGCCCTAGGCCTTTCAAGATCATCAGCCTATAAGTCTTTCATCAAAAGCTATACAACAAAAAAAGATTTCATCACTTGCACTGCTGCCACATGAATCAGAAAAAAATCTAGTTTTTAGATGCATTGACAGTCAAATCTGCTTGGGATCTGAAATATAAAGTAGTATATATGAACGAAATTTCTATGACATATGCATGCATCAGATAGTAGTATGTAGTTGTGTTCCAAATTAGCATATCTAAGTCTTTTCAAAGATTCAATAGAGGTAGAACGGAAGGAGAGAAAAAACCCTGACATCGTAGCTGAAACGATGGATAACGAAAATCACTACAAAAAGGGGGCACATAGACATCGCCCTTTGTTACATGGACGATGGACCTAAACGAGCAGCAACGTTCAGCGGTCTTGCAAGTGATGGTTTAGGGTTTTTTTCCATATTCTTTATACCAATAAGGCGGCAAAGGCACCTTAAAAAGTTTCAGCCACTTCTCTAATCAAGATTATTGAGGGGTCAGTACCAGCGGAGCTTGTCAAAAAAAGAGTTTGCTCGAGTAATTCCAATAAAATGGGATTGGGTGGTACGTGAACATGGAAACAATACACATATATTGTGTTGTTTCCATGTCAGGTTGAGCTTCAGAGGATGATAAGCTCATAGAAATTTAATAAATATATATTTCACATATTACCTCCTAGGAATAGAAAGTAATAGACGATCCTAACCATCTGATCTTTCTGAATGAACGACTCATAGTTATTTAGGGTACCACGGCAAAGCTCATAGAAAGTTTGGGTACATGTCTATGGTGTCGCATATGAGATCAGGTCCTTTTTACCTCTCTGGGCCTTTTTACCTCTCTGGGTTTGTAGGCTCTATTCTAGGTCCAACACAGAGAGTTGACATGAGATCTATGAAGAAAAACTGGAGTGGTTCGGCTTATGGTTTGCAGTCCTTGATGCAGACATTGTTGTGGATGATAGCCTATACGAAATCTTTTCCAAGGTCGACCATATTGTTCCTGGTAATGGTGGAGAGCTTGATGACTTCGATGAGGAAGATGATTTAGACCTAGAAAACCAAAATAAGGACAAAGATTAGGATATGGAAGACGTTGACATAAATGATTGTGGTCTTCATCGACTACTTCAAGCGCGGGTTCAATGTTCACCACCTTCCCAATGGCGTTTTGTTCTTGTCTGTGTTCATCTCTTTTTGTGAGAATTTCGTTGGGATGGAGCCGCACTGGGCCTTTTTCCACCAAAGCTTCGTTGTGAGACCCCAGTCCCAAATGACCCGAACCGGAAGGCAGCCGGGAGTTCGATGATCAAGTCGTCTTCAAACATCCCCGGTTGGAAGAAGAAATGGTTATGTGCGGATCTGACCACCCCGGCCTATTCTCCCCAATTCCTCGAGCACCCTTTCTTGACGAAGGAGATTGTGCCCCTCTCAGAGTCGAATGATGCAGAGACTGGTGGGCGAGATTGATCATAATAGAGCCCACGGTGTAACCGACGAGATCCCTCTTTTGGCTTTTTACGAGCGCCGAATTATACCTCTTTGGGAGCGAGTGCACCCGATGTACGTACGAGTATACGGGATCAGGTGACCCTACTCGCGAGACGTCCTTCTCCTCACCCCGGTCTGCAGTGATCGAGAAGGGGTCAGTTATGCTGGCAGAAGGCATTGCGCCGGATGTTATCTGCTTCTTTTTTTTCTTTTTTCTTTTTTTGAGGAAGGATGTTATCTGCTTCTTGTCCGTGCTTTGACTTGTGCCTTTTTTTTTTTTTTTGACAACAACTTTGACTTGTGCCTTGTGCGCACGGTGGACTCCACTGGTGGACGACGGGCTCAGGGTCATCGAGGCCATGCCGTTTGAACCGGAGAAAGACGTCTGGGCCGCCTATGGGGCGCGCTGCTCAGTTGCTGCCGGCTGCACGACGACATGGACCTCGCTGGTTGTGCGGCTGAGCAGGCTGCAGCTGCACCTCCTCGACCCAGGGAACGGCTGCCGGTACGACGCGTTGGCTCAGACGTTCGATGGCAGCGGGAGGTAGGACAACGTGTCAAGGGTGCGAGATTGATGCGGGATAGGGACCAGGGGTGAACAGGCAGACATGGACGCAGGATCTGGCCTAGGCTCAGAATCCCCAGCATTTCAGTCCTTCCAGCCGAATAAGCAATGCCACTTCCATCACCGCGACTATGCAGAGTAGACCATAGAACAGAAACAGTGTGAACATGGGGTTGAACAAAAATGTTGAAAACAGTTGTATAATCGCAATGGAAATGGAAGCATTATTGTCAAGGATCCTATCATATGGTTCATTTACAAACGCTGGGAAAACTTACACGAGCACAACTCTACAAACACCACCCAACACTTTGAGCTTTCCCTGCGCCAACTATGGATGATTACAGATGTAGTACAAGTTCAGCGATAATCCCATCAAATTTAGACAATTACAAAGTTCAACTCTGAAAAAAAAAATTATATGTAATAACGCGCTACATGGTCAGTGAATCAGGAAGTGAAGTTGGAGCTCCCAGAATCTTGCCACCAACATCAGGAAAGCATTCTTGGTCTGGCAGTGGGCTGATCTTACCATCAGCCTCCACCTTAACTGGGTACTTGAGGAGGTGTCCTTGTAATGTACTCATTTCTTCGGCTGTAAACCTTTGCCAGTTCTCTACAGCTATTTGATTCACAAACCTTACACACTCCAAACTCGAAGGATCCTTGAAGCGATCATCAACCGTTCCAAGGTGCTCTGCCCACAGAGACGTTCTGTACCCATATACCTGGAGGGAAAATGATGTGTAGGCAAAGCTAGCTTAGAAGTGGTAGCATTATTTGTAAATATTGGGTTGTACAGAATCACATAGGGGGCAAAATAAGTTACTAGCCATTAACAAAACTGCAGTAAGCAAATTTGGTAGAAAGAAGAGAACCTGGCCGTGAGGATGTCCGTTCTTTGTAGACCATGCATAATGAGGCTGGTATGCACCCATTGCAATTTCAGTATCTCTAGAACCAGCCAGGGATCTCTGGTTGATGTTTGCTGAACCCAGAATGACATATTCATCATCCACAATCATCCCTTTTGCGTGAACATAGATCATGAACCGTCGATATTTTGTAGCTAAGCCCTGCAGATTTTAAAACCAGAAGAAATATTAAATGAATGTGACTGCTTAGTAAATTATTAACAAGAAAATGAATGGAGCTAGGCTCAAGACAACATGGCATGTCTACTGCTTCAAAGTAGAATGACAAGAGCATAGTATCACATGAAAGATAATTGCATGGGAAAACAATAGATTGATTAGGGCTGTGGAACACAGGTGCATATATAGGCAAGGAAGATCTAGGGTTGGTTTATAGAAGTATAATAGTATCCTTGCCTATCATAACTAACAATTTTTTTTTTGAAAACCTATCATCACTAACAATCAATCTAGATAAACCCCAGCGGCTCAAGGCCCACCCCAGTTCAGCTAAAAAAACAGATGGCCCTAAGGCCTAGCCAAACTATATGTCTAACATCACATATTAAATACAGTGAATAGGGAAAATTTTTGTATAG